AGTTATGCTCGATTTTTTGCCGATTTTTGACACACCACGCCAAAAAGGTTGCCCATCACTGTCCTAGGATAGTTGTTAACATGCAAGTGTCTGGAAAAACAAGCTGGTCCAACAAAGATTAAAATGAGATAGGGAACAAGTTGTATTCTCAGTAGAGAATTGTATAATTGGGACTTTGCCAAGGAGAAAGTCTTACTCCAGGTCAGCATACAATGAGTCATGACCACCTTTGGGGTAACAACAGGACTTTTCTACCAGTCTTATCCTATGGCTTAAGTAATGTTGGAGGCATCTTTTCAAATAATTAGGTCCTTTTTATTTATGGCTTTGTAGATTTATGTCAAAATAATGGTGTAGATTTTTATAGTGGCCATGTGATGCGATGTATTGAGCTTCAGGGTTTAGTGACTACTATCAGTAAACTTTGAAGCTCAACACTGTGTGTCCTGGATAAATGATTTCTGCAGTGAGCCTTGATTGTTGGGTTGGGTTTTTTGGGGGGTGGGGTGGGAGGTCCTTTCCAAGGCTGGCCGTAGAGTTATGCTTCAGCGCCAGGGTTTCTTGCAGCCTTAGATCCACAGTGCCCCAAGAATCCCCTGACCTGCAGCAATATTCTTTCCCTAATATCTCCGTGTTTCTCTACACTGTCCCTCATCTCTCATGCAGACTGTGCCAGGCCTCCCATCTCTCTCTGGCGCTCCTCCCTCCGCTTAACGTCCCACACATCTGGAGTTATGACAGTAACCAGGAGTGCCAGGATTGGGATCATTAAGCAATGTGGTCATGTGAGATCTTGCTTTACAAGCACATTGCTTAGCAATGGAAATTTCTGTCTCAACTGTGGTCATAAATTGAGATTATCCTCAATGGATAACCTTAAATGGAAGGTAGACAATATACACCATTCTGATACCTTATAAGTTTCTTTTCAATTTCATATGTGGTTCTTCTTTCATTTCCATGACTGGGAGCACACAGAAGCAGAACTATTACCTAAGACCTTAACTAATACTTTTCCTTCTCCCAAAAAAGAGATTGAATCCAATTATTGTTTAGAAGTCCTAAGGTATCTAAATTCATGAATTTATCCTATTTGCTAGAATGGAGTGGGTAGATGTTTTTATGTACAGTGTGTAGATTTTAAAGAAGCAATAGCTGCATCCAATGAAACCTTGACATTTTTTTTAAAGCAGAAGGACTCATGGATTTCAGGATGCATAACATTTAATTGCAGGTTGAATGCAGTCTTTAACATACCCACTCTCCCCACTTGTGCCATCAGAATTCAGTGACAAAATGCCTGAATTTTGTAAGTGTAATTTCACGCAATAAATGGTGACAAATTGAAAATGCTAATAGTTTGTCTTCCAGGGGCTTAACACTGCCTCAAAAGTATCACTTTCTTGCTCTCATGTCACTGCCCCACCATTAACATATCGAAAAATATTGTTCCTTTGTTCTGAGAAAGTTGCTGAATGACCGTCTGGGGTCATGCAGAAATGCAGGAAGCTGCCTTGTTTTTCTGATTTCTCAACAACTAAAATGTAAGAGATTAAATCACTTCTAGTTTCAAAGCCTTGAGCTCTACTTGGTTCAACCTGCTGCGAGATAGCTCATACTGAGAATTGTTTCTCTATGCTATGTAGAACCACTTGTGACATTCCAAAAATTGTGTCTTCTGTTTTATGTTCAGGTCTTGGAAATTTTTACTAGTCGGCTAACTAGACTCCAGGTGTTACCACGACATGAAATACCTTCTCTTACAAAGTATCAGATAATTCTAGCACGAGATCAATTTAGGAAAAACCCTGCTTCACGTTTTGAGGTACATGTTCCCAAGAAGTATATCATTTGGGTTTTTTTTCTATATAATCAGATTTGTAATTGGTCATATTTAAATGCACAACTGGAATGTGATGGACTGGTCCCCCTGTTTCCCATGGGGGTGGGGAGGTCTCAATCTTTTCTCAAAATTGTTACTACAGCCTCCTTTGCTGTTTGCAGAGCCTTTTCAGGAAAGCAGATGCACCTGGCACTTTTTCACAGTGGCATTCAAGAATAGATAAAGTGATGTTTTTTTTTTCCTGCTTTCCTCCCTTTTGGTACCTAATCAAGTAGGGAGAAATTAGATTAGATTAGTTTAGATTAAAATCTTTTCAGAATTAAAACGGCTGTTTCAGTAAGAATCCAAGTTGTTTATCATGAATGCTAAAATCAAAGTACTAAAATGGGAGTTGAAAAGGAGAAAACAAGGCCTAAAACGATGTCCAGGTTTTATTCCTTTAGCCACCGATGTGCATGCACAGAGTTAGCACAAAATAACAGCAAATCATTTCCCATAAAATGAAAACCAAAGTTCTAATTGCACTTCCACCTCCGATGTCCTTTAATACAGGGGTCCCCAACCCCGGGCCATGGCGTGTTTGCAACTGTGCCGTGGAAGTGGCAGGGGAGTGTGCGCACATGCAAAGCTGGATTTGTGAAAGTGCACACATCTGAAACCATCCCCCCACTGCTGCCTCCGCTGGTTCTCTGAGCCAGAAAGTTTGGGCAACACTGATTTAATATACTTTTTTTCTGGATCTCCATTGGCTTACAGAATTCCTTATCTGACTCTGCAATGTCTTAAGAAAAAGAGGTGTCCATGCTGCCTTTAAGAAAAAGGCAATGTAGCGCTGTCTTCTACTCTTTTAAAAGCCCACCCAGTGGAATGTTTATACATTTTTGTGGACTTTAGAAAAAGGCTTTATCCGTTTATTGGAATACATTCAGATTCTTGCGCTATTTGTCTCAAAAATGGAATTTTTCTCACTACAGTTTTCTATCCCATTTATGTAGCGTTTTAAGCTCCCTGGTCAGAACGACATTTGCAGACGTATAAATGCAACAGTTATACAATTGTCTCCGAACAACAGAAAAATATGTTCCCTGATGTGCAATGACAGAGAAATCTAATCCAGGCTTTAGCTTTCAAAGGATCTGATTTTTTTTTCCAGTAAGCTTGAAATGGAATAAAAACTGTTTAGATAGTAACCCAGGTGGAAGTCTATTTTACTTTATTATTTACTTAAATTGTAGGTAGAATCACTGTAAAATTGCTGTTACAAATGAATCTGTATAACTATAATTTTGTTGCTGAAATCAGAAATATCTTCTTCCCCAGCGAATGCAGCAAGGTGCAATAGAAGGAGATTTTGCTCTTTGCATTAGTTTATATCATGGTTACGAACTGTTACTGCAAATGGGAA